ATCCTTGCAGATGAGCAATAAATCATTAAAGTCTAATTAAAAAATGATTAGAAAAACACTTTTCTTGCCTTGTGAGGTTTTGTTTAAAGATCTAACGTGGTGGCCTTCAGGTCAGTGAATCAGTTGCTATTATTACCTAAGGCACAAGAACAGAGCTACTTGTCTACTTAAAATCATAGACCATACAAATAAATCGTGGTGCACCTCACTTATGATACCTCAGATGGTGGCATGTGACTGCAGTAATTAACTGGTCATGTCCTTGTAGATGCAAGCTCGTCACCCATAGACCTAAAAATTTCTCCCTCTACAGTTGCTAGATTCATGAAAACACTGTGAAACTCTTCTGTGTATGTAGATTAGCACCAGTGAGAGAGGATCTGACATTGGGCTTTGTTACAATCCCACATAAGGATTTTTAACCTCCTGTGTATTGGGCTCGTACCATGGCTAGCAAATTAAAACCAGCCTCCCTTTGAGGTTGTCATCTTCTCCCCCTCTCCCGCCAAGGGAATCTGCTGTTTAGCTCTGCCTTTGACCCACTGCCATCTGGTTTTGTATTTAACCTGCGTGTCCCTTTAAAATCTTTCTTGAGATGCCTAAAAGCCCAGTGCTTTGCAGTACTGCCACATGGGTGAGGGTTGAGCTGTCACTTTCTATGAAACCATCGCTGATGAACAGACTCCCTGAACTTCCCTTTCCGCTCTGCTGCTTTCTGTATGGATCTGGGATGCCGAGGTACTAGTCAGTCCCTCATTTTGGTGCTCCCTGGAGACAATGGGTTCAAAATCTCAATACTTCCTTTCTCCCTGGTCTTGTTTTACATAGAACGGTTGAAATTAATCTACCAACTCCCTGGACCTCTTTTGCCTAAGAGCAATGTACAGAGGAGCAATGTGCTAGGGGAGAAAAAGTGGGATGGGTGATCTGGTTTGTATTCCTGGCTCTGGTACTTAGTGTGCCTCAGTTTACCTGCTGTACAGCAGGGATAACTTTTACCCTCTGTAAAGCACTAATCTGTGCATAGACAATGCTAAGTTGTTAACAGGTTCAGACTGTACTATCTCAAAGTATATATCTCACAATCTCTAATGAGATACTTTACTGCAGTCCTGTTTGAAATCTAAGCAGCCCCTCATGAACCTCTGTTGCAGTCACATGTCTGCACTGCACATGTCTGTCTGCCCTATTCTTGTGAGGTTGTAGGATATTGAAACTGACAAGAATCCTGTTCTGGTGATTTCAGAGAATAGGAATTTTGTCAGTTTCACCATCATGCCTACTGCAATTAATTTTGCTGAGTGGGATGCTGAGAACCGTAGGGCCCTGCGCTAGTCTGGCTTGCTGGTTCTAATAGCTTATTTTCCATGATGAAAATATGGGCATCCTAAAGCAACCTTTTAAAGAGGGTAGGAGTTTAGGCTTTAAAATGTTAACTTCAGCTATGCATGTGTCCTCTAAAACTATCAAACTAAACCAGGGCTGCTTATAGATGGAGGACTTAAGGCAACCCCTTAAAGCCCTGTCTGCACCTGAATCTTTTGCTGTTGCAACTGTCTGTTGTTCCTGGAAGCTGCCTTGCGTTCATGTGCAAAGCTGCTTCCTGTGGTGAGTAGACATTCCTACCCCCTCTGCCATTGCTCCAAACCAATGCGGTGCAATTAGAGTTCCCCTCTCCTAGGACTAAGTCGCTGGGTTAATCAGACACATAGTTGGCAGGGGTTAAAGATTACACAGGAAATTACTTCCACTGGATGGGACTCAAGAGACCTTAGTTTTAATACCAGCTCTGCCACTGGCCTGCTGGTGACCCTGGGCAAGTCACTTCCCCTTTCTGTGTCTCAGTTGCCCCATCTGTAAAACAGGAATAATGATACTGATGGGTAGCAGTGAAGTGGAGGGGGCCAGAGGAACATCCTTAGTCTGAGCCTGGCCCAGGCCCATTGCAGGAGCCCAGAGTGATCTCGAGCCAGAGGGGCACTTAGGACAATAAATGAAATGGAGCTTGTAGAAATGATTGAATAAATAAAGGAAAGGGAACTCCCTTCCCTTGAGTTCCCAACCCACCACTCCTCATAGCAGCACCTCAGCCAAGCAGGCAACAGAGCCCTAGCACCTGACTGCCTGGAGACTGAGGACCTGGGCAGGCTAGTGCCAGTCTATAATGCAGGCTAACACAGTGGCTTTGTACCTTTCCAGTGGCCATATTAGGTTTGAATGCTCCTGGCACTGAGGTAACAGACCTGCTCCTGGTTCAGTCCTGGTAAATGATCCATTCAGTATCAGTGCTGCATAAACAGGGAGGGGGGACAAATAAATGTGCAGAAGTGTAAATAGCCACTATAGACACCGGCGCTGCTCTAGAGAGGCACTGGGAATTTGGGGGTGATCAGCACACCCAGTATTGAATGTGAACTAAAGCAGCATCCCCCATGCACAGGCAATGTAGCAGCTGCCCCATGGCACGTGGAGAGGGGGCTGTGGCTGTGAGCTTGGTTCAAAATAGGCCTCTGGAAAGCCTGAAAGAATTCTGGACTGAGCTGCATCTAGCCTCAAGTTTCCAGAGGGATGGATGCTTTACCCGTGTGGATCATCATCTGGGAAGCACCGATCTAACCAAAAGGTAATGATAAACTACCCTACAGTGCAGTGAGTGTGAGGGGAAATGAGCGGGTGATGCAATGACTGGTGAGCAGTCTGGTCTTAATGTCATTGCAATGATTCCCTTCCCAAGGCTCTTGGGAAGCTGTATGGTATGAAAGCCACCTCCAATTTCACTGGCATGAACAAATGCAGCTGATGCCTGGGAAAAGAGAGGGAGGAAAATCGTGGTCATGTCAACTTTTTTGGAGGGTGATCAAAGGTGTTTAAAAGCTAGGGGGGAAGAGTAGAGCTGGCGCCAAGGAAAGCAAATTCCACCCGCAGCTACCTCCTACCTTAAGCTGTGTCTGTGAGGTCCCTCAAGGGCAAGTGGTGTCATTACCGACCAAGAGGAGGCAGTGGTCTGAAGTCGACGGGTTTGATTCTCCCGTCACTTACCTGGGGTAGCTCCAGAATCTTCAGCCGTTGCTCTCTTGGTCGGACTCCTGGTCCCTCACATGAAAGCACTGTTGTTCTAGTCTGCAGATACTAGCTGGCTGTAGGACTGAGTAGGTGGGTGGCCAAACCAGAGGATAAAGGATGTATTACTCCCACCAGCTAAGGGAGATTTTCTTTAACGTGTCATTTTTGGAGCTCGAGAAGTAGGATGCTGGGCCTGGCCTGGTTGGGGGTTGTGGCGTTTATCCAGTAATTGGCTCGAGGCTGCACTGTTTGTTCGTTACAAGGGCAGCAGTGGGGAAGCGAGGGCAGGACATGCATGCCCTTCTGCTTGTTGAGACACACACAAGGCTGTGGTGTAGTGCACAGAAGTGCGGGGTTGGTACAGCTCTGGTTATGAAGATCCAGCGGCGTGTGCCTCCTGCCTGATGTAGGAGGGCACCTGAGCCAGAAGTATGCTGGCGTGTAGTGACCTCTCCACCGTGGGACTCCCACTCTCCCTCTGACCACAAAGCCGCACTCCCTCCTCATGCTGGGAGCAGGACCTAGGAGTCCTGGGTTGATTTGAACTACAAGGTGGATAGAAACCTGCTAGATCATCGAGCTCAACGAGTAGTGATCAATGGCTCCATGTCTAGTTGGCAGCCGGTATCGAGCGGAGTGCCCCAAGGGTCGGTCCTGGGGCCGGTTTTGTTCAATATCTTCATTAATGATCTGGAGGATGGCGTGGACTGCACCCTCAGCAAGTTTGCAGATTACACTAAACTGGGAGGAGTGGTAGATACGCTGGAGGGTAGGGATAGGATGCAGAAGGACCTAGACAAATTAGAGGATTGGGCCAAAAGATATTGGATGAGGTTCAACAAGGACAAGTGCAGAGTCCTGCACTTAGGACGGAAGAATCCCATGCACTGCTACAGACTAGGGACCGAATGGCTAGGCAGCAGTTCTGCAGAAAAGGACCTAGGGGTTACAGTGGATGAGAAGTTGGATGTGAGTCGTCAGTGTGCCCTTGTTGCCAAGAAGGCTAACGGCATTTTGGGCTGTATAAGTAGGGGTATTACCAGCAGATTGAGGGTACATGATCATTCCCCTCTATTCAACATTGGTGAAGCCTCATCTGGAGTATGGTGTCCACTTTTGGACCCCACACTACAAGAAGGATGTGGAAAAATTGGAAAGAGTCCAGCGGAGGGCAACAAAAATGATCAGGGGGCTGGAGCACTTGACTGATGAGGAGAGGCTGAGGGAACTGGGATTGTTTAGTCTGCAGAAGAGAAGAATGAGGGGGGATTTGATAGCTGCTTTCAACTACCTGAAAGGGGGTTCCAAAGAGGATGGATCTAGACTGTTCTCAGTGGTACCAGATGACAGAACAAGAAGTAATGGTCTCAAGTTGCAGTGGGGGGCGATCTAGGTTGGATATTAGGAAACACTATTTCACTAGGAGGGTGGTGAAGCACTGGAATGTGTTACCTAGGGAGGTGGTGGAATCTCTATCCTTAGAGGTTTTTAAGGTCAGGCTTGACAAAGCCCTGGCTGGGATGATTTAGTTGGGAATTGGTCCTGCTTTGAGCAGGGGGTTGGACTAGATGACCTCCTGAGGTCCCTTCCAACCCTGATATTCTATGATTCTGTGATGATTTGTGACTTTTGAAGGGGCAGGTTGGCTTGGCTATGCTGCATGCTGATGTGATGGCAGCTCTAGCCTCAGCGGGGCCTTAAGGCAAGACCCTGTGAGGACAAGCCCCCCAGCAGCCAGCACGCTAACTTAAAAGGGGCGTTGCTACAGCTCCTGCCACTCCTAACATGGCTGTCTCAGGCTACCCACTCGTCTGCCACACCAGACATGGCTGCCTCTCTACCTCGCCCTCCCTGGCTGCAGGTCTCGCGAGAAGGGCGCGCGAGTGATTCTCGCGAGATTGCGGCGCGGCCCGGGGAGGAAGGCGGGGCGGGCGAAGATGGAGCCGGGCGGTGTTGGTGGCTGCGGGGGGCCGGGGCCGGGGCCGCTGATCGTGAACAACAAGCAGCGGGGCGGGCTGCTGCCGGCGGGGAAGGGCCGCGAGTTCAACCGCAACCAGCGCAAGGACTCCGAGGTGAGCGCGCGGCCCTGTTCCCTCCTCGGTCCGCCGGGCGGGGGGGTTCGGTTCCGGCTCCGAATGACGCTGCCCCCCCCCCGGTCGCTGTGGGCGGGGCGGGGCGGTTGGGTACCGGGTCCAAATGGAGCAGACCCCTCCCCCTTCTGGGTATAAGTGGGTCTGACCCACCCCCATGGGGGTCTCGGTACCGGGCCAGCCCTCTTCCCCTGGGCCTTGGTAGTGGGGGGCCGGGGCCAGCGCCAGCCTGGATCCTGTGGGGGAGGGAGTCGGTACCTGCCTAGAGCCCCGCCTCTCAGTGGGCCTGGCTATAGACGTACAGACCAAGCGCCCATCGGTGCGGTGTCTGGGCGCCAGGCCTGCGGCTGGCTGACGGGTGTATAAGAGGGGCAGGGTGTTCAGTCTTGGCCCGCACCTTGGAGCCACTGCTATGTTTGTGTTAGGGGGAGGGGACATCCAGAGCGGCCCCAGACCCAGATTTCGGGGGACTGACATCCCTGTGTCAGGGGGAGCGATGCCAGACTCAAAAGGTGACATGGTCCATACGTGGGAGATTGAGCCCCAGTCAGAGTGACTTCTTAAAGTAGGGGTTCTCAACTCCCCGGCTGCTTGCAGCCCAACTGGCGCACAGCTGTGCCCCATGGGACATGCTCAGGGCCATACAGGTAGTATATATATATATGGTGTGGATGGGGCCCACATAACACAGAGACAGCTGCATAGGCGGCCCCAGTGATAAATGGGTTCAGACCCAGTGCCTTAAAATGAGTAAATGAATGTTGCTGTTTCATTTGATCCCAGTCCCAGAGGTGAATCTGAAGAAGTTTTTTTTTTTTACCCACAAAAGCTTATGTCCAAAGAAATCTGTTAGCCTTTAAGGTGCCACTGGACTCCTCGTTGTTTTTCCAAAGGTGACTGTGCATCCTATCCTCTGCTAGCGATTGGCACAAGATTCATGTAAAGCTTAGCCAAGGGAACATATTGATGACTTACATTAGTTTCTTTTAAAGCTACTGCATCTTGCTGCAGTCTTGATCTTTTTCCAGCCTCAGTAATATTGCCTCTATTCTCTGTATTATTTATTTATTTACTTAGTTATTTTTTGTATTCTGTTAGTACCTAAAGACAAGGATGAGGATTTGGACTGTGGTAGCATCACAGACTTCCAGAGTGGTTCACGTTTATTCTAAATTGATAAAATCTGAGAGCTCCCTGGTCCAGACTAGTCTGCTCCAATTTTAGGATTAAATAAGCATGTGGATATATAAAATTTTACATAGTGCCTTTCACTTCAAAGGATCCCAGAGGGCTTTATAGGCTGTATACAAACGGGTCACTCACCACTGAAATGCAATTCAATGGAACATGATATTTCAACAGCACAGAGCAACATTACACAATCGGGTAGGAATAAGAAGTGTTGAATATTACACCCATTCAAAATACAGAAGGCACTTTAGAAGGTTACCTTGATGCTGTTGATGTGCCAGTAAATTTCATATCTGTTAGACTGAAAACACTGTACTGAACTTGCAACAGGATGAATTTTGAACGTTATGGAGACTGAATTTTTTTTTACTGAATAGTGACTGATGAAAACTGTTTTTCTTCTGCCATCAGGGCTATTCTGAATCCCCAGACTTGGAGTTTGAATATGCAGATACAGATAGATGGTCTGCAGAGCTGTCGGGTAGGAAATTAAACCTAATGTTTAAATTAACTTGTTTTTTGCTCACTGGTCCGTAAAAGAACACGATCGACTCAAAAATAATATATTTTTCATATGATTGTTTTTAGCTTAATAACACGTTGTTAAAATCCTATTAGCTTTAATTAACTAATCATTATTTTTGCCATATACCCTGCTTTTCTTTTTTGCATTTCCCACCTTGGACAACCAGGCTAGTCAGTTTCACTTGACTTGCTTGTCAGTTTCAGCTTTCAGTTCTCATGCTAGTGGATGTAGTGTTTGGATCCCAAATACTTTAGAAACTTGCATCCAGATAAACTCTTTTCACTGGAAATAATATTTTAAATACCAAAAATAATTTCTATTGAATTTCACTTATGTAAAACATTGTTCTGAGATCTTTTATGTTTTGAGCGGTTGAGTATATATAAGCCCCTTTGTTTTCAGTTTAAACCGATTTTTACTGAAAAAATTTCCAGGTTTTACAAAAAGTATTATTCATTTTTTTTCTGATTTTCACCCTACTTTCGTATCATTCAAATATATAAATAATAACTTGTTTTATTAGGAAAATACAATACATTGCATGAGATTTATGTATTTTGATAATACATTAGTCTGTGCGTGTATATGCAAAGCTGCCTGTTGAAGTAAGACTATGTGTTAGTCTAGAAGATACACACAATAACAAACAGGCAGGCATGCACAAAATAAGTGCGTGCCTATCTGAACGTACTGGTGAATCTCACGCCCACCACTTGCACATTTCAAGCTGTTAGCAGATAGTGGTTTAAAGATTTGGCACGCTAAAACAGGAAGAAAACGAAAATCTGTATCAGAATACGTTTCAGAACACAAGGAAGTATTCGAAAGTTTAAAAAAAACCAAACAGGAGAAAAGGATGAAGTTGAGTGTATGCGCTGCAAATGGTGTGGCCCAATTATTAAATGTAAATACTTATAGGCCAATAGTTCTAAGTTTACAACAGTAAACCGTTTATTCAAATGAAAAGTTTTATTTGGGGATTAGAGATATGTTGTTTTCTTAAACTCAGAGGTGGCATGTTTTGAGTTCTGTTTTAGTTTCTGCAGCAAACCACATTGATGAACGAAATTCAAAGCATTATAGGTCTGTCTCATCTTACGCGGGGGTTCCGTTCTGCGGTTAGCACGTAAAGCGAAAACCGCGTATAGTCAACATTACATTGAGTTCAATGGCGGGCGGAATCGCCCGCACTATAGGTACAGTATTAAAATTGTTATTTTTCTCTTTTTTTGTTTTTGTTTTTGCCGACCGCGTAAAGCTGAAATTGCGCATGTTAAATGCGCGTAAGATGCGACAGACCTGTAATCGACTGAATAGTTTTTTCCGTCTTTCTGTCCGCCAAAATAAATCCCAATATTTACCCAGAAAAATTACTAACATTTTTTGCACCGATTTTTCACCTGTTTTGGTTGCTGTGATAATAAACACTGATAAATTGTCTGGAAAAAATAAATAAAATAAAAACTGAAAACAAAGGACCCTAAGTGTAGAAAACTTCAGTGATGAGAAATCTTTTTTAAAAAAATTAATATAATTAGTATGAGTAGAAAAAACCCATAGCAGCAATTTCCAGGTAACAAGTCAAACCATGCAGATTCTAATGCTCACAGAGTCCAATAAACATTAAGTGTGATATGACTGAAGTGAAGTCCGTGCTCCTTAGTTTCACAGCTGAGAACTGGTTAGTTTTTGGAGGTGTTTTCTGGTTGGATGCAGAAATGAAATTGACAACCATCAGACACCAGTGATGCTCTCTTGGCAGAACTATACAGCTACACGGAGGGTCCGGAGTTCCAGCTGAATCGAAAATGCTTTGAGGAGGATTTTAGGGTCCACGGTAAGAGAACTGTCTTCTCCCTCCCACATCGTACTGTGGAGATGATGTCACTTGTAGAACATAGACAATAGGAGACAGAAGTATTGATGTGCTGCTATCTCTGTGTCAGAAGGAAGGAACCAGCCACGTACATTGATTCCTTGTTTACCTTAGCTAGTGTTTGCTGACAAATGTTGTCAATGTTCACAGGACACCTTCTAATGTGCCTCACCTGTGAACTGGAGGGGAAAGAGTAGGTTCGTGTCCATGGCCTAATCAGCACTTAGGCTATCAAAATGTGCTAGGTGGTTAATTGGTGCCCACTGTGGCTGTGCTGTAAGATGTGGAAGTCTGTCCATTAAGAACAACCATCTCATTTTATGAAGGTTGTTGTCTGTACTGACTTCTGATCACCGCTGATGTGGATTCAAACAGATGAGTCTGAATAATTCTGTCCTGTACTAGAAGGCTTTAGACCAGGGGCGGGCAAACTTTTTGGCCTGAGGGCCACATCGGGTTTCTGAAATTGTATGGAGGGCCGGTTAGGGAAGGCTGTTCCCCCCCAAACAGCCAGGCGTGGCCCGTCCCCCACCCCCTATCCAACCCCCCCTGCTTCTCGCCCCCTGACGGCCCCCCAGTACTCCTGCCCCATCCAACCCCCCCGTTCCCTGATGGGACCCCTGCCCAATCCACCCTTCCCTGTGCCCTGACCGCCCTCGGAACCCCTGACTGCCCCCCGCCACCCAATCCAACCCCTCCACTCATTCCTGACTGCCCCCTTGGTGCCCCCATCCAATCACCTTCTCCCTGTCCCCTGCCTGCCCCCCACCGCCCCATCTAACCCACCCCCCCGACTGCTCCCCCGGGACCCCTGCCCCCATTCCACCCCCTTGTTCCCTGCCCTCTGACTGCCCCGCCCCCTATCCACACCCCTGCCACCTGACCACCACCCCAAACTCCCCTGCCCTCTATCCAACCCCCCCTGCTCCCTGCCCCCTTACCGCGCTGCCTGGAGCACCGGTGGCTGGCGGCGCTACAGCTGCACCGCCCAGAGCATTGTGCTGGCGGAGCGGCAAGCTGAGGCTGCGGGGGAGGGTGAACAGCTGGGGAGGGGCCGGAGGCTAGCCTCCCGGGCCAGGAGCTCAGGGGCCGGGCAGGAGGGTCCCGCGGGCTGGATGTGGCCCACGGGCTGTAGTTTGCCCACCTCTGCTTTAGAGTTCCCTCTGCCTGGCCCCTTGATGGTCAGACATACCTATGCTTTGTCCCATGGCTGTGATGAGTGCCCTGTCCAAATTGACAGTCTGGCTCTCTATTTATGCTGAATGCTCTGAATTTTCCTCTCTTCGTTTTACATCCAATGAGAGAATTGCAGCTGTAACTGCTTCATAGTTTCATGGCTTTTGGAGAGGGGGAGAAATATACACCCCCGTCCAGCTGTGGGGAGCAACCTCGCACAAAACTAGCTGTGTTTGGCTTTTCAGTGCTGGATAAAAAATGGACCGAGCTGGACAACAGCCAGCATCGTACCCATGCCATGCGGCTCCTCGATGGGCTGGAGGTCACTGCCAGGGAGAAGAGGCTCAAGGTGGCCCGAGCCATCCTCTACGTCGCACAAGGTATGTCGCAGTGTCGGCAGAAGAATTGGTCCTGTTCTGAAATCCCTGTTAACTTTTCTGTGTAGAATCTTTATTAAAGGGGCACCCAGGTTAGAAATCATCTGTTTAACACCAGCTTCCCTCCCCATGTCCCTGGTCACACCTGCAGCCGTTAGATCGGAATTAACTTGTTACGATTGCTGCCATCTTACCTGTTGTGCATTCAGTGAGTCATTTTCACCTTTATTTCTAGTTGGGTTCCTGTTTAGGGGCTCGATTCTGAAGCCTAAGGGGTAGCTCAGGAGGGTCTGGGGCGAAGGTTGATTTAAGCTGCAGAGCTGCATCCTCCAAAAGCTCCTCGAATAATACTAATAATTAGTATGTTGTTTAAAACGCCTTTGCAATACCCATGTTCTTCCTGCACTGAGGGCTGCTGTGGCCCCAGTCAAATTAAGAGCAGCTTGGGCTTTGTCTGCCAGTGGAATGCTCCATAGGCCAGAATGGCTGTGGGGCTGAGCGCTGTCCCCACTCCCTCTCCTACCCCCAGGCCTGTCCCCTATGCTGTGGGCAGCATGGGGCCATGCACCTGAGCCTTACAGAGCTGCCACAGCGAGGGGAATTCTCCCTCTGGCGGTTGTGTCCATTTTACACTCCCTATATCAGATCAGCGCGTATGGGCCGGGGACTGGGCCAAAATCTGGCCCCAGGTTCTCCTGCACTAGCTCAATGTGGCAAAGTTTGGGTTGCAAATGCTTCAGGGGAAATCTTTAAATCCAAATGGATAATTTTAACTGAAAAATATTTCTCTTAAATACTTTTGTCCAACTTCTAACCAAGTAGATGGGGCACCGGAACGGGAGTTGACTGATCTGGATTCTTTGCCCAGCTCAGCCACTAATTTCTTTTTTTTCCCTGAGACCTGGAGCAAGTTTCTTCCCCTCTCCGTGCCTGTCTTCCTGTCTGTCATCCGTGGATCAGATTCGCATGGGCTCTCTGAGGCTTGCTTGAATGTCTGTGAAGTGCACTGAGATTCTTGACGGAAAGGTGATCCAATAATAATGTTATTACAGGCACCTTTGGAGAGTGCGGTTCCGAGGCTGAAGTTCAAGCCTGGATGCGATATAACATTTTCTTGCTACTGGAAGTTGGTACCTTCAATGCTTTGGTGGAGCTTCTGAACATGGAGATTGAGTGAGTATCATGGGGCTGGGGATATGAAAAGCTGTGCCTGAAGAGTTTTGATAACCTGTGCGTGAACTGCTCCACCTGGATCTTTTTCCAGCTTGTGAAAGATGCTCACTTCCCAGCAGCTCTCTGCTCCCAATCCAGTTTCCGTCGGAGTCAGCGGGAAGGCTCCTGTTGACTTCAGTGGGGGTCGGGTTGAGCTCTGTCTCCAAGGACCAGGGGCGATGTAGGCAGTAGTAAGTTTTGCAAGTTTCAGAGTGCTTCACGCGTGTCCTGGAGATACTGCCTCCAGGTCAGTCCAGTCAATCCTTGGTGTCTCTATTCAGGCTGCCAACTGTGGTGGTGGATTTTGGCTACTAGGAGCTGAATCCCTCCCCCACCCCGCCTCCAACCAGTGGTCAGTTGGTGGCAGCTGGGCTGGATTTGAACTGGAGATCTCATCTGTGTGCTCTCCAGAACACTTTTATTCTGCAAGGGGAAGAGGGGCAGGGAGGTAACGCATGGTCAGACACCCATTCTAGAGAGAATGGTTCTTCCCGGGGGTTAGTCCATTTAGCCAGTGAGCATGTTAGACGTGGCGCATCCTTAGGTCTGCCCTGAGCATAGACTGCTAGAGCATTGTTGATGGGCGCCTGGGGGGAGAATCCACTAAGGATGAAGCCCTTTCACATCGGCAGCGGGCTCCAGAGCGGAGACCTTTGCACTTGAGGGAGGGGTTTCCAAGGGCAGGCCTGGGAGCTAGGAATTCCTAAATGCCAATCCTGGCTCTGACACTGACTCCCTTTGAGGCCTAGGGCAAATCACTGCATTGCTGTGTCTGTTTTCCCATCTGAGAAATGGAGCTAAGTTGTGGGGGTGGGGGGGAGGTTTAGTGAGATGTTTAAGAAGCGCTGCTGCAGCAAGTACTGAATGTGATTTAGTTTCCCCTTGGAGAGAGTTGTACCCTTTCTCTGGGCCTCTGATCAACTGGGGCTAATTTCCGCAGACATGAGGGCCTCTGCGCTTGCTCCCTGTGTCGCCGGATTGATGTGGAGGCTTCCAGTGTTTGGCATCAGTAGAGTCTAGTCGTGTCAGATCCCAGCGGCAGCGATCAGCTCTCCTGTGTGGTTTAATTGGTTGTTTACGGTGGTGTTAAACCATCCAAGCTGCGTTTTCCCAGAGGGAGAGGTGGGCAACCTGATCTGAGGGTCTGAGTCTCTTTCCTCCCGCAGTAACAGCGCCGCCTGCAGCAGTGCCGTGAGGAAGCCCGCCATCTCCCTGGCCGACAGCACGGATTTGAGGTGAGTAAATGATGGGGAGAGGCTGCTGAATGTTAGGCTTCAGGGTCTAAGCTGAAGGCCTGGGGGTTCAGAAAGGAGCTTTGGCAGGTGCGTTATGGGATTTGTTTCCTTCCTTTGAGAGGCAGTTCAGTCCAGCAGAGAGGGCTAGGAGTCAGGAGAACGGGCGCCATTTCCAGAGTGTTGACTCACTGTGGTCTCTTTGTGCCTCATTTACCCCCACCTATAAAATGGGTCTAATGGCACCCGCCTTTGTTAAAGTGTGTTGAGCTCCGGGCTCGAAAGGCACTGTAGACGTGCTCAGCTCATTAGCATCTCTGCAGGATCAAGTACAGTCTGCTGCTGGAGGCTGGATACTGGACTGATGGACCAGTAGGGCTTGCCATACAGGGTCAGACTGTCTCCTAATCCATGTACACAGTGAGTTACTTCTACTGGGTCAAAAGACGGGGGGCAAAGGGGTGAGGAGTGGAGCACACTCTCTCAGCCTTTTCAGGTTGGTGACCCCTTATCTGAAGTTAGAAATTTTCACTACCCTCTTTTATTTACTAAGAGTAAAAAGTGTATCAATGATGCCGATGCGGAGCCTAGATAATTGGTTAGTGTGTTACCAGAGAGGGAATCCTTGACCTGCTCTCTGCCTGTGGCACACAATAGTTTCGTCTTCTGAGGGCTGTAACGCTTTGGTCTAATTCTGGTTGTTGGCTTGGTGCGGGGCTGACTGGGGGATATTCTGTGGCCTGTAATATACAGTTGGTCAGACTGATCATCTAGGGGACCCTTCTGGCCGTAAACTCTATGACCTTGAAGGACCCTGGGTGGGGAGGGGAAGAGAGTTCAACATCTCGTGATTCCCCTCCACCCCCGGAGGCCATGACCTGCCAGTTGGGTAACACTCCTCCAGAGGGTTTCTTACCCCCAACTCCGATATCTAGCTCTAGTCCCCTTGAGTCTGATCTGTTCCTCGTGCGGGATATGGACAAATGGGAGCAGAACATGACTGCCTTTCTAAGTGTTGTTGGAGCCAGCAGGTCCTCTGAGACCTGCTCCCCTCTCGGTCATCCATTGGTCCTGTCTGACACTCTGCGGTTTGCAGGGTGTTGCTGAACATCATGTACCTGATCGTAGAGACGGTCCGGCAGGAGGCTGAGGGAGACAAGGTTGAGTGGAAGACGATGAGGCAGACTTTCCGAGCAGAGCTAGGTAGGAGCCTCCCCTGGGATGTCCCGGGGGTGTAATGGTGGGGTGGGTAGGTTACAGCAGTGTTCTCTGCAAGGTGATGAGCCGGGGCCTGGAATCTCTATAGTGGTTCGAATCTGGCCCGTTTGGTAGTGACCGGCAGTCCTCCGCTTACAGCAGTTCAGTGACCTGTGTGAAGTGAATTACTGGGTCCCATTCCAATTCCCAGGCGACATGGGCCCACTCTGCAGAATCCATTCCCAACGCTCTTCTTGTCTGTCTTGGCAAATCAGCCAAAGCCCGAATAGGCCATGGAGACGGGATTCTTTTGCTGTTAGTGGAGGATTCCTCTGGGGCAGGGTTAAGCTACACCGGAGGGGGCAGAGCCAAGGAAGCCAGCATTCCCATTGCTTGTGCTGTATCTCTGCTGTGAAGTCTGGTCTCTGGGGCCATCCTTGCCCAGCATCAGAGTTATTTGTAAGCAAATACGGTAGATCCTGGGCTTCAGAAGGGAGGAGAGGATGAGGGCGGGGGTGAGCAGGTAGGGGATGGGATGGTGAGGTTAGGAACATGCCGGAGCTCTGCCCTGAGAGGGAGGTGGTGATGGGAGGGTGGGCGGCTCTTCAGGCGAGCATGGCTGTTATCGGTGTGTTTGCTTCCAGGGGCCCCGCTGTATAACAACGAGCCATTTTCCGTTATGCTCTTCGGAATGGTGACCAAATTCTGCAGCGGCCACGCCCCACACTTCCCTATGAAGAAGGTACTGCTGCTGCTCTGGAAAACTGTGCTGGTAAGAATCCCCTGGTGTGAGCAGGGGAGTTGGAACAAGTTTTCTAAAGCCATCATCCAAGTAATTCTTTCTTTGGCATCTAATCTGGGGCCGACTTGGCTGGAAGCAAGTGATAGGGGCACTGACTGTCTTGTCCTCTGCTGAACTCGGTACATCCGCCCTGAGACGCAGCTGAGTAATTGTAAACAGGGGATCATCGTGGAGTGGGTGTGTTTCCAGTGGGCTCCTGCAGGGATCCGTTCTGGCCCTTCGCTGTTTCACACTTTTAGCCATGACCTGGAAGGAAACAGAAAATCATCACTGATAAAGTTTGCAAGTGACACAAAAATTGGGGGAGTGGTCAAGAATGAAGAGAACAGGTCACTTGATTCCGAGCGATCGAGATCACTTGGTCAGCTGGGCGTAAGCAAACAGTATGCATTTGAATACAGCTAAATGTAACTGTATTCCTCTAGAAACAAAGAACGTAGACAGGATGGGGGATTCTGTCTCGGGAAGCAGCGACCCTGAGAAAGACTGGCGGTTGTGATGGACAATGAGCTAAACATGAGCACTGGTGCAATGCGATGGCCCAAAGGGCATAAACAGGAATCTCTAGTGGGAGCAGAGAGGTTATTTGACCTCTCTTTGTGATCTCCGGGATCTGGGTATTTGACACTGGTGCGACCGCTGCTGAAATACTGTGTCCAGTTCTGGTGCCCACAATTCAGTCAAGATGTGGATAAATTGCTGAGGGTGCAGAGAAGAACCACAAGAATGATGAAAGGATTAGAAAACCTGCCTTCTAGCGATAGACTCAAGGACCTCAATCTATTTAGCTTAACAAAGAGAAGGTTAATTGGTGACTTTGACCGTCCATAAGAACCTGGGGAACAAATATTTAATAATGGGGTCTTTGATCTACCAGAGAAAGGTCTAATAGGATCCAATGGCTGGAAATTGAAGCTAGACAAATTCAGACTGAAAATAAGGCATACATTTTTAACAGTGAGAGTAATTAACCATTGGAACAAGTGTGTGACAGCTCTGCTCACGGTCAGGGTCATGGCCATGGCCCTGTACCATCCTGGCAATGAGGAACTGTTTGATAACTGGCTAGACACAAACAGTATGTGAGATCACCACGGTGTCAGTCTGTAATGTAGACAGTCCCCAGTGCAGGTTGTGGCTTGGAGCAGGTGAAATTCCACAATCCGTTTACAGGGAGCTATTGACAGGGTTGATTTTCTATCAAAATTCCCCCTCCCTGTGTTGCTAAACGCATTGCCAGCTGTCAAAGCTGAAAGCACCTTCCGTGTATGAATAACAAGGGTTATGCTGACTTCCTGGAGCCTTTAACTCCCAGCTGCCCTTGTGCTGAATACTGCTGGGTTCCTGTAGCAGATCCTCCAGTCCTTCAGAGGAAGTAGAATGGTAGGACCCTGGGGCAGTATCCCATTGCGCTTTTCACAGTCTGAGCGCTCCATAGAGATCCTCTCACTCCGTGGTGAGACCTGTCACCAGTGTCATCCCCACGTTACAGATGGGAGGCCTGAGGTGCCAAGAGTTTTGGATGCTCAGGGTCATAGAGAGGAGATGGTGTGAGATGTGGGATTAGAGCTTCTGATGACCAGCTCTGTGCTCCCACCTCTAGACCGTACCCCTCTTTCCTGAATGACCTCTTGACCAAAGGAAAGTGCGCCCTTCACTTCGCTAGATCTGTGATGTCCTGTAGCTAGAACCCCAGCGGTGCCTTTCTGTCCATTGGCTTTTCAGCTGTCTTTAGACTGAGCAGTCCAGCATCTGACATAGATAGACCCTAAATAACAGACCCCATATGTAAGGTTTATGGGCAGAACTCTTTGTCTCGGGGATCTGTTCACGTGGACTTTCTGTCAGGTGGGGTGGGGTGCTTGGAGCTCTGCTGAGTGAGCGAACCCCGTACGCTGTGTGTCCAGAGGGTGCTTGTCCATGCGGTCGCCTCAGTCACAATTCCGGGTGTGTGTGGGGGGTCTGTTGCAGTGCACTCTGGGAGGCTTTGAGGAGCTCCAAGCCATGAAGGCCGAGAAACGGGAGATACTGGGCCTCCCGCCACTTCCAGAGGACAGCATCAAAGTGATCCGCAACATGAGGGCTGCATCCCCGCCGGCGTCAGCCTCTGACCTGATCGAACAGCAGCAGAAACGGGGCCGGCGGGAACACAAGGTAAGGCCGAGTCTGGGCGAGGTCAGGGGGGTCGCGGAGGGAACGTCACCTTGCCCTCAAGGGGACAGTGAAATTAACAAGGGTAACACAGGGCAGCCAGCTTCTTGCCCTAGGCATGCTGGGGAGTCAAGTATGATCTTGGGGTGACTTGTGCCCCAGAGAGAGTCTCCCCGTGTCAATCTGACGTTCACCTCCTCCCCACTCAGCCGCCTTCTCCCTTGGTTCCAGGCTCTGATTAAGCAAGACAACCTTGATGCCTTCAATGAGCGGGACCCTTACAAAGCTGACGACTCCCGTGAGGAAGAGGAGGAGAATGACGATGACAACAGCCTTGAGGGGGAGACGTTCCCCCTGGAAAGAGATGAGGTGATGCCTCCACCCATCCAGCACCCTCCCACCGACCGACTCACCTGCCCAAAGGGGCTGCCCTGGGCTCCCAAGGTCAGGTGAGTTGTCTCCTCAGGACCACTAGGAATGACCTCGTGCCAGGCCCCTGGCAGCGTTCTGCCATCGGCTTGTCTAATGAATGCTGAGTGGTGATGGTTAAAGTGTGAGACGGGTTTCCGCTCCCCCGATGGAGACCAGTATCCTTCAGGATAAAGATGGGACCCTCTAGGAACTGTCCAGCAGTGGGGCTGTCGAGATCAACCACCCCATTGTTACGAGCCTCTAGGGTGGTGGCATTGTCTTGGAGCAATGATGGGTTATGGTGTTCCACACTGGAGCTCACCTAGAGGGTGGGGACCCTCCTGGGGTGGGACTTTGGAGTGGAGGCGGGAGCTCTGCTCTCTCTGAATCTCACTTGACCCAGGAGAGCTCTGTTGGGCTGATTCGTTCTTCCTGGTTGTAATTACGCGGGCACTCTCCAGCACGGCAGTGGTGGAAGGTGTGGGCCTGACTGCATGGTAAGTGATCTCCTCCTTCCTGCAGAGAGAAGGACATCGAGATGTTCCTGGAATCCAGTCGCAGCAAGTTCATCGGTTACACGCTGGGGAGGTGAGTTAAAGCAGAGCTCTGGGGCTTGGGCAGAGCCAGTTTGTGGGTCATCCCATTTCAGCCTCACATGCTGACGTGCTGGCAAGGCTACAGCAGATAGGCAAACTCCCGCCTGGCTCAGTGGCTGCTCTCTGCCCTCTAGGAGACATGGATCCTCTCCTTTCTGACCAGGAGGAGGGGGCGTTTTCAGCCTCTGTGTCAGTCTGGCTTTTTCCTCTCTCTAGTGACACGAACACGGTGGTGGGGCTGCCCAGACCCATCCACGAGAGCATCCGAACCCTGAAACTGGTGAGTGCCACCCTCACGGGCTCCCCTCGACACTGCCTGTGTGTGCGGATGCCTCTAACCCCTCCCACCAGTTGAGGGCCGACTGTCCACCCTGTCCAGGTGCCAGGCCTCCAGCCTGCCCTCTCTCCTGTTCTCCCAGGGCTGCCCTCTTCTCCCCTGCAAAGTTCCCTTGTCTGCCCTGGGTCTCCCGAACCAGGTCAGCCCCTTCCCGTGGTGTGACGACCATCCAGACTCCGGGCCACCCTCTGAGTGGTCGTCAATGGAGGGTTACCAGAAAGGTCCATTCGCTTTCCTGTTGGAATTAATGCCTTGTGAGCAGGTAGCAAACTACATAACGGTCAGGTGGACAGAACGTGTAATAGTCATAAAAAGTTACAGGCACCTGCCTTCACAAGCCCGTCTGTGGCTTCCCCACTGGGTGGGCTGCAGCTGGTGGGGTGTGCGCCGTCAGCGAAGGGACTGGGGGAATCTCCCTGTGCCGCTGGCCGGTGGCATTAACCTCCCCTGCTCTGTCTCTGCGCAGCACAAGTACACGTCGATCGCGGAGGTTCAGGTTCAGATGGAAGAGGAGTACCTGCGCTCCCCGCTCTCCGGGGTGAGTGCCACAGGGGTGCGCCCCTCTCTGGGGAGTCCGCACATTGCAGGGAGGCAGATCCGTAAAGTGACTCTTTGGGGAGTGCGAGGAGGAGGCTGTGGGGCCTGCAGAACTGCTGATTGGGGTTTCTTTGGATAGGTGTCTGTCCTCGGGGACCCTGCCAATCCTGTATCCCCTGAGGAGGTGACTGCATGCAGGAGCCTGTCACTGTGTGCATTCAGTTAGCCAGAGGTTTGCTCAAGGGTAACCTGCGGTTCCTCCCCCCTCACGAGCTCTGATCCCTATGTGGCAGCCTGCTGTGTGACTGCTAGGCTGTCCTTTGGGGGAGGGGAGGGCTGTGCCCGTGTCCTGGGAGGCCGCATTGTGCTCGTGTCTGGTTCTGCAGAGCCAGGCAGGCCCCTGCACCCCAATCCAAATCGGCCACCTTGCGAGGTCTGGAGACGTTCTCAGGGTGCGGTTCTCTCATCTCTGTACTAGGGGGAAGAGGAAGTGGAGCAAGTTCCTACGGAAACCCTGTACCAGGGCCTCCTTCCCAGCCTGCCCCAGTACATGGTGAGTTGTGGCCACACTACAGATCCTAGGCCAAGCCCCGTCCCTTCCCACTCCCCCGCCTTGACTAGTACAGCTGGACTCTCCTCTCCAAACTTACATTGGAGTGGGCCTGATCCCATGATCTCAGCCCCTTTCCACTGGTATGTGCCAAGTCATACTGAATCACTCCTTTCCCTGTCCATTGGCGTGTGCTTGATTGTGCCCTCTGCTGCTTCAGACCCATCTCCTGACAAGTGCCTGATTGCCCCTGCTTGTGAGTATGTCCCCAGTCACATGACTTCTGCCCGCCCCTGCCCGTTGGTATGTGCCCCCTCTTTGCACATTGGCACGCACTTCGTGGCATCCTCTCGCCTTTCCCCACTGCGTACCGAATTGAGGGCCATTAAGCACCTCGGCGTCAGCGCCCGCAGCCCTGTTCTCTGCCCTCGGAGGCCCTTCCCGCCCTCACCCAGCTCTTGGATGCCCTCCACAGATTGCCTTGCTGAAGATCCTGCTGGCCGCAGCCCCCACCTCCAAAGCCAAGACGGATTCCATTAACATCCTCGCGGACGTCTTGCCGGAGGAGATGCCGTGAGTGCCCTTCTCTGGTGGCCTGGAGAAGCCCACGGCGGGGTGAATGCGGGGGGTGAGAGAACAGGGGTGACTAGGTCTCTGGTAGGTAGAAGGCCCCTCCTGGCTTTGCATGGCAGCACTTTAAGGCCTGGCTGGTTGTGCTGGAGCTGGGGAGTCTTAGCCAGCACCCAGACTGCGGCAGGCGACTCAGTTTCCTGTGCTGGGAGCAAGTCTGAACTCTGAGCTAGGAAATGGCCTGAAGCTAAACTCCCTAGATTCTGTCAGGTCTCTCGCGCTAAGCAGGGTTAGGCCTGACTCTTGCTTGGAGGGGAGATCTTTGGCTCACACCCAAGATTGTGCAGGTAGCGGTGCTGGTGACTGTAGCAGGCGCCTTCCCTCTGAGTCAGGACTTGCAGCGCTGGGGGCATTGTGCTAGCAGAGGTGTTCTCTTTCTGCTGAGATGTCGAGCTTGGTATAGATTCCAGGGCATGTTAGCTCAGTGTCCTGGCCTAATTCCAACTTGTGTGCCAGTCTAAATTGTGGTTTCAGTCCGATACGGGATTGGCCTCTCCTGAACATTCCCATGTTCTGTTAGCCGCTGCTGCCGTCCGCCCCAGAGATGGCCGCGTTTCAGCGGTGGGATGGAGTGGCTACAAACTAGGCACAGGGATCAGTTTGTTGACTGGCCACCTTGGGATCTTTGGGGTGAAATGTATCCTGGAAACCTTATTCCTTAATTAAAGGTAGCATGAGCGTATGGAGTTGCAGGAAAGGCCTTCAGGGGACAGCGGGGTGATGGCTGTGGAGAGGGAGAGAAGAGGCAAGAGGCAGTGGGCTGTACTCCCTTGGTGGGATTGTGGTCTGGCTGTCTCTGGCCATCCCCTCTTCTGGGGACCGGTTACCCCCTCCCTGAGACGGGGGCTGAGATTGGGGCTTTGTCCTCCAGGACCACGGTGCTGCAGAGCATGAAGCTGGGCGTGGACGTGAACCGGCACAAAGAGATCATCGTCAAGGCCATTTCTGCCGTGCTGCTGCTGCTGCTCAAACACTTCAAGTTGAATCACGTTTATCAGGTAAACCTGGGTGGGGACCCCCTCCCCCCGCACACAGATGCAGCTCACTAGGGGAGCATGCAGCACCAGGGGACGCTCAGGTCTGCTTGCTTACCTGCCTCCCTTATCTTTGCTCTTAGTTTGAGTACATGGCCCAGCACCTGGTGTTTGCCAACTGCATCCCACTCATCCTGAAATTCTTCAATCAGAACATCATGTCCTACATCACTGCCAAGAACAGGTAACAGGGTGCCCAGGGCTTGCTGTACCACCAGGCCCTTCGCTGACCCTGCATCTGCCATGGAGTGGGATTGCTGCACAGTGGGGTGCCCCTACCATCACTAACCCTGCAGCAAGCTACCCAAGTGTGTTGTGGGGTACCTGATGGGGTCCCTCACAATCACTGACCATGCCATGGGGTATCTGGTGGGGGCCCCCCGTCACTGGCCCAGTGTGAGGTACTGAGTGGGTTGTGGGGTGCCTTGAGGGCCCCCAACACTGCACCCACAGTGGGGTACCCAGCACCTGCTCCCCCTCCCCAAGCGCTGCTCCTGCCGTGGGGCCCATAGGAAGGGAGCTGTTCTCAAATCTCTCCCATCAGACTCCCTTACACGCTACTGAATCCTCAGCAACGTCCCCTCTCGGTTGTGGCCCAGGCACCGGGACCCGTTCTCAGTAAATGGACGTTGTCAGCTATCCCCAGCATGGGATCCTTCAGGAAGCTGCCCCGGGGGGGTGCAGGGGACTCCATAGAGATCTCCCCACACAAGGCTGGGGCTGTGCATCGGCAAGCAGGAGAGGCTGAGGCCCTCTCTTCTCCTTCCAGCATCTCGGTCTTGGATTACCCTTACTGCGTGGTGCACGAGCTCCCGGAGCTGACGGCAGAGAGTCTGGTGAGCTCAGCCCCCCGCAGTGCCCTGCAGGCTGCCCCCCTCCTGCCTGTCATGTCCTTTCCCTGCTGGGGCCAGAGCACAGAGGGGCTGTAGGGGAAATGAGGAGAGCTCTCTGCAGCACTGGGAGGCCTGGCAGGTGGGAGCAAGCCTGTAAGCACCCAGGGCAGGCTGCTGCTGCTCAGAGGGCTGGGGCAGTGCTGGGCTCCGTGCCTTGCTGTGACAGCCCAGGCTTTCCGGAGATCAGCTCCCTGCACATGTGACTGGGATCCAGGTAGCGCTAGGGGAGGGCTGGGTGGGAAGGGACTCCTGGCCTTTAAGTTGGCCCTGTATAGCATGAGCCTCCTCCCATAGGCAGCCCTGCCCATCCCTGCGCGGCACACCCGCAAGCCGGCTGCTCACCCTCCCACCCGGCTTTCATCTCTCTGCAGGAAGCCGGGGATAACAACCAGTTTTGCTGGCGGAACCTGTTCTCCTGTATAAACCTCCTGAGGATACTGAACAAGCTGACAAAGTGGAAACACTCCAGGACCATGGTGAGTAGGAGCCCATTGGACGTCGGGACCACGAGGTGCAGAGACCTGTGTGGGTGGGGGCTGCGTAAGGCTCTATATGGCCTTAAAAACCTCCGCGTGTGGAGTGTGGGCTGAGTCTTCGATCCAGCCCATGTCCTGGTGCCAGGGAGAGGTGTGGATGGGCTCAGTGTACATGTGCCTGGCACAGCGTTACGCACTGCGTGTGCCCCGTGGCGCGGTGTGACCGGTGTGCCTCCTAGATGCTGGTGGTGTTCAAGTCGGCTCCCATCCTGAAACGAGCCCTGAAGGTGAAGCAAGCCATGATGCAGCTCTATGTCCTGAAGCTGCTCAAGGTGCAGACCAAATACCTGGGGCGGCAGTGGAGGAAAAGCAACATGAAGACCATGTCTGCTATCTACCAGAAAGTGCGGCACCGGCTCAACGATGACTGGGCCTATGGAAATGGTACCACCCCTACCCTCTGCCCGTGGCCTCTCATGTGCCTGATTCATCGGGGTTGGGTTGAGCCCCAAGGGAGTGCTTATCCCAGGGGGCATCTGCTCACTTTGCCCAATAGCAGGCCAGGCTGGCACCTGGCCAGGGCCCAAAGGGCGTCGCCAGTTGGCATAAAACGTAACAGGTCTTTAACATACCAGATGGAGGCGAAGCATTGCATGCTGGGACCTGTAGTCTCCAAGAGGCTGTCCCTCCATATTACAGATGAGGGCAGCTGCTTGGACAAAGATGGAGCATTGCATGCTGGGAGAATGGCATGGGTGGGTGAAGATGGAGCACTGCTTCATCTCCACCCTAAAGATGTGGGCAGCAGCATTCAACCTAGCAACTGTGGTTGAGCTGCTCCCGTTTATATCCGTCAGCTATCAGGAACTGGCAGCTGTAGGAACTCGCTCCCCAGGGCAGCTGTACCAACCTCCCATTATTGTGAGGTGGCATCCCAACTGCTATATGGGAGCAGCTCAATGGTACAGTTAGCCCAGTATCCCGTCTCTTGGCAAAAGCCATAAAGCACCTAACTGCCCAGTGCCCTCCCTGACTCCCACTGGTGATGGCTCAAGCCCTGAAGCCTGGGCATTAGGAGCCCTGATCGTGGGCTTCCTAATCAAAGGGTCTTTTCCTCTTTTGACACTCCTGGGCAGGTGCAGCTGCCTGTCCAAGGAGGGAGCGGGTAGGCAAGGTATGACCAGGAGACCACCTTCCCCAGGCTATATAGGCCTAATGTCCTCCCCCTTCTGCCCTAGATCTGGATGCGCGCCCCTGGGACTTCCAGGCGGAGGAGTGCGCCCTGCGAGCCAGCATCGAGCGCTTCAACTCCAGGCGCTATGACCGGGCGCACAGCAACCCTGACTTCCTGCCCGTGGATAACTGTTTACAGAGCGTGCTGGGCCAGAGGGTGGAGCTGCCAGAGGATTTCCAGATGAACTACGATCTATGGCTAGAAAGGGAAGTCTTCTCCAGACCTATCTCCTGGGAAGAACTGCTGCAATAATGCCTGTGTGACACTAGGGGGCCCTGCAGAGACTTGGAGCTGGGGCTAACATGCCGAAGGGACGATGCCGGGAATGGTCGAGTTCCTCTTCCTCATCCACTGAAGGCATGTTCCAGGTGTGGCTTATGCTGCCTGGAACAGCTGTTCCTCCCTCCTTCTCCAGATGGCAGCCTGGCTTCATCCCACCTGCTCAAGGACACAGCAGCACCAGTCACGGGCCTTTGCGGGGACCCGACAGCTGCTGCGGTTCCTGGTGAAGCTTGTGCCGACTGGGTTCCTGGGTCGCTTGGCTTCCACGCTGTTCAGTGAGGGGTCTGGGGGGAGGACAGATCCCCTCCATCATCCCCAAGACACTAGAGTCCAATCCCATCCGAGGGAAGCATGTTCCTTGGCCCCGCTGCTTGGCTCAGACAGGGCTCTATGCTCTGCCTCCGTGCCGGGAGTTGGATGTGGCTGCCAGTTCTGGTCCCAAACCAGTCACTCCTGCCCACTCAGTGTGGTGCTCTGTCCCCCTCTGGTGGTGGTTGAGCCTCCTACAGCTTTGGCCAACTCATCTGGGGACTCCACTCAGGCTGCAGAGGCTCCTGCTTTTAGAACCGGAAGTCCCGGGTTCAGTCCCCACGGAGGATGACTCACCCAGGGGCATAGCATCACTCTAGCCACCTGCCTTTTCCTACCCTCCTTCCCTGGCCAGAGGCGGGGAGAGCAGCCTCTGGTAAGGCAGAGGTGTGGGGGGCATAGAGAGGGGCTCGGGAAGAGGGTGTGGGGAGCAGCAGGCTCGGTGCTGCCACCTAGTGTGTGCAGGAAGGTGGAGTGGTGGTAGCAGCAGCCTGTGCTCTCGCCAACGCCAGGGCTGGGCATAGCCAAAAAGACCCCAAGCAAACAAGGTGGCTGATGCTAGGATGCAGGGGACATGGTGAGTGGAGAAGGGACCTTCATTTGGAGCTGGGCTGCTGTCCCGCCTCACCCCGCTGGGTGGCGCAGGGGAGCTGTACATATCTATAAATAGCCCTGTAACCATTCCTCCTGCGTAACTCCAAATGCCAGGTTTTTAATGTCTTTGTGACTCTTTGCATTAAACAATCTGTCGCGCTTGGACTTGGCTTGAGCTAGGTGTGGGGCTCCTCCATCCTGCAGAGCAGCTGCTCCCTGCCGATATCCAGCAGGCCCCTACAGCTTCCCAGCCACCTTCCCCAATTGGGCCTTTTCTGCTCTTGAGACCACCCCAGTCTCCCCTTCTTCCCTCAGGCCTTGAGCCCAAGGCTCTGTGGGCCAGCCTGTCTCAGTAGCTGTGCCCGCAATGCGGGTCTGGCTGTTCAGGCAGCTGGACCAACCTGCTCCTTCCTAGCTTGCAGCTGTGGCTGCTCTGCACTTAGCCCCTCTTAAACACACAAGGTTTTTCTCCCTGGCCAATGACCATGAGCCAGGCAGGGTTTCCAGTGTCCTCTGATCGCCCCTGGGTCTGCCCATACAGCCGATCCCCATGCCGGGTGCTAGCAGAGCGGGTGAGGTGGGGACAAGGGCAGGCATTAGAAAATTCGGGTGACAAAAGTTGGGGGTGAGTTATTGATCCCTCTCTACACAGCTCTGGTGGGATGTGCCCTGTCTTGCTGTGGCCATGGCTGGATAAGATGGTAGTTCCGACCAGAACACCGCAGGTGATCAGGGGGCTGCAGAGATTGGCAGATGAGGGCAGCAAGGAACATAGCTGGGCTGGGGACTACATGTCCCCAGTGATGAGGAGGGTGAGGTGGCCAATGGGCTGGTGTCTCGAAGGTGCTTAGCTAATGTCAAGGGTCAGGGCCTGTAGCAGAGCCAGCTGTGGGTAATCTGACGAGCACAGCTGGCCTGCAGTAGGCTGCCTGATTGGCTACCCTGCCTGATTGGCGGCAAGAGTCAGCAGACCAGCTCTTAAACCCAGCAGCCGTTTGGTGGCTGCTCAAAGCATTCGCCCACGGCTGTGATAATTTCTGGGCGTGCTTGTTCCCAGCCCTGTTCCTGGCTCGGCCCCAATCCTGCTCCCGCTTTGCCTCATCCAGCTCTGACCCTTGGCTCCTATTCCCAACTTTGGCTCTGACCCATGGCCTCTGGCATCTGACTCCAGTTCTCACCCTGGGCTTCTATTCCTGGCTCCCAACTCCTGTGCTAACCGCTAGGTGTGACTCTCACTCCAACCAGTCGGCATGACCGCCCACATCGGACAACGAAGAGGAATAGGGTGAAAGCAATTGTGCGAAATCTGCTTACTTATGAAACCTATAAGCCTGTGGAGGGGCCTCCTAAGGGAAGCAGGGTAAGCCTTGTGTGGGCCATTTGTGGGCATGAGGCACGAGAATGACGAGACTGCGGGGCACTGTCCCATCTTGTCAGGACACCCGGGCTAGCTCCCCTTGTGGTCAGGTGGTGCTGTGGCTGCACAGCCTGTGCCAATGACGCAAGTTCACGGTTACATCTGTAGCCAGCAGTTTATGGTGTGGAACTCGTATCCTGCTGTCCCCTCCGTTGTCAGTGCCATGGGGACTGGCAGGGCTGCCAATTGCCTGCCTCTGGCTCCTTGGCCTTCTTCCTGTACCACCCCCACAACTGAGGCAGGCTAGAGCCAGCAGGGATTAAAAAGATGGGGAGGGGGGAGGCTGCGGTGCTAGTGAATGTGGCTGCTGGTGCTTTGAAGTTGGGGTTATAGGCTGAACCAGGCTCTCTTCAGAGCCCCTCTGCTGCAGTCCCACGCCCTGTCCTGGAGCTTCCAGCGTGTGGCTGCTGGTACGGACCAGCGCATTCCTGCTCCTGCTGTCTCTGCAGAAGCTGCTGCGGCTGGGGGCGTTGCTTCTGGCTCAGGCAGTGGCTGGGATGTGGCAGCCATCGCAGGCGTCCAGAATATTTTGCTGTTGGCAAAACAGACAGACTCAGTTTCACAGCCCGGCTTGTGCTGCTTTGCCCTCTAGCCAGAGCCCTTTTGAGAGGAGGGTGGAATGGATGTGGAAAGGTAGGGTCACTGCCCTCTGAATGCAGGGGGGCTCCTGTTTTAAAGCAGGTGGGGAGCCTCTGTATACTGCATGATGGACCATGTTGGGTGTCTTCTACATCCCCTGGCCAGAGAAATCACTGCATATTCCAGAGCTCCTCCCATGGTCAGCCTGCACATCCCATGTGGTACAGCAGCACCTCCTGAGATCAGAGCCCCAGTATGCTAAGTGATGTACATCCATGTGCAAAGAGCCGGCCCGTGCCCTAAGCAGCTGATGGTCTATACAGACAAAGGGTGGGGTTCCTGTTCTTGACAGATGGGAACAGAAAGATGAAGGGACTTGCCCAAAGTCCCCTGGACACGGTTAGAGTTTGAACCCAGATCTCCTGGGAACAGGAGATCTCATGGTTCAGGGTTTCAGCTGGCCACCAGCAGGGGTCAGGAAGGGAATTACCCCCCACCCCCCATGCAGTGTGGAAGGGCTTTTTTTAATACTTCCTTGGAAGCAGCAGGGATGGCCATGGCTGGAGAGGGGACGTCGGGTGGGGTGGGCCAGGGCTCCCAGGTGCTTGGCTGGCTGGTTCTCGTTCACACGCTCAGGGTCTAGCCAATCGCTGGGTGTAGGCTTGGGAAGGAATTTCCCCCCCCAGGTCAGAATGGCAGGGACCTTGGAGCTTTTCGCCTTGCTCCGCAGAGTGGAGTGTGGGTCACTTGCTGAGATCATCTGGGTCTGGCTCACTCAATTCCTTGCCATTGCAGGGGCCTGGGGCACTAGTGCATCTTGGTCCCTCTTGTTCTGTCCCTGTGACGCAGCCATCTGGTCACCTATGGGCTGGGATACGTTGGTCTCCGGCTGGTTGGTGGGGGCAGTGTGCAGATGCTGGTGGCCTGTGATGTAGAGGGGGCCAGACGGGACGAGCTCTTGGTCACTTTGGGCCTTGAACTCTATGACTCTGACTCCTGCACCCAGCCCAGTGCTTTACCCTGCTAGCCCTTACCAGCTGTGCGGATGGCACTAGTTCCCTTGGTGCATGCCAGTGTGCCCCGTCCCATAGAGTGCTGTTTGGTAACCTCCTGCTATGCCTTCTCTTGGGATATGCTCTGTTTACTGAGTGATCTTTGACTTACCCCTCAGCCCTACTACTGGGCCTTCGAGCCAAAGCTTGATTCCTGCCAAAGCCCCTCCCCCAGCAGCCCTCAAACATTATCCCCATATTACAAAGGGGGGAAACAGAGACAGCAGGGGGCCATGACCCCAGGCAACCATCTTTGGCACAGCTAGGAAGAAAGCCCAGTTGTAGACATGTGCATGCTAAGTACATTAGATATACTGTGAGATGAGCATTGGCCTGCTAAACCCAGGGTTGTGAGTTCAATCCTTGAGGGGGCCATTTAGGGAACTGGGGTAAAAATCTGTCTGGGGATTGGTCCTGCTTTGAGTGGGGGGTTGGACTAGATGATCTCCTGACGTCCCTTCCAATCCTGATATTCTATGATTCTATCTAGCTCCCCTGTTCTCTCTCCCCACCCTCAGCCCTCCTCAACGGCGCAGGCTGGCAGAGCAGAGGGGCATGGCCAGGCCTTGGCAATGGCTCTCCGGAATAAATCAGTGGGCTGGCTCTGGTAGGGGCAGGGAGGCACTCTGGTGAGGGAGGGGTTGGTAAAACAAGCCCTTAAATCTCCAGCTGGTGGCTGTGTTAAAAGCAAGGTGAGGCCAGGCTGGCATGACCTCCTCACAGTCCAGCACGGCTGGGTCAGCGTGGTGGTTAGTTGGGGAGCTTTCTCCGTGGGCCGGGAACTCTAGGGCTGGATTCCAGGAGTGGCTGCATGCATGCTGCAGACACGCACCTGTTTTTCTTGTGGAGTTCAGGGCTCAGAAGAGCGGGAGGCAGTGGTGCCTAGGATAAGGGTTCTGTGATCAGGTTCTTCCCACAATGCCCCTCAGTCCTGACCCACAGGTCTCCCTCAGTCCAGTTCTGGGCTACATGCACCCCTCTGTCCCAAGAGGCAGGCCCAGTGCCGGGCTCCTCACAGACTGCTCTGTGGATGCTCCTCAGTCATAACCTGCAGCTCCTCCACTTCCGTTCCAGGACTGCTCCCTCCTCCTGCTCTGCCCATATG